TTTTCTAGTTTTTCTTTGCACCGTTCTGTTTATATTTAATGGACTTTTCTTTTAAATGAAAATTCAAAATGTTATATATAATAATAAGAATACATATTTATTTATGAGTTATAAAAAATAGTTTTAAAAGATTAAAAACAATTGGATTGCATTTTTAAAAGAAATGTAGAATATAATAAATCTACCTTTCTAAATATGCCCAACTGACAACTTTTCTGAAGAAAAAATTGCTTTGAATCGGCAGCTTCTGTACAGAAAATGCAGCTCACATTCTGACAAATTCTCTATAGAAATAGTTGTTCATATTTTGACAGCTTTTTTCAATTCTAGTTCAGTTCTAGGTCAGTTCTAGTTCAGTTCTAATTCAGTTCTAGTTCAGTTCTAGTTCAGTTCTAGTTCAGTTCTAGTTCAGTTCTAGTTCAGTTCTAGTTCAGTTCTAGTTCAGTTCTAGTTCAGTTCTAGTTCAGTTCTAGTTCAGTTCTAGTTCAGTTCTAGTTCAGTTCTAGTTCAGTTCTAGTTCAGTTCTAGTTCAGTCTAGTTTTAGTTCAGTTCTAGTTCTTCTTCAGTTCTAGTTCAGTTCTAGTTCAGTTCTAGTTCAGTTCTAGTTCAGTTCTAGTTCAGTTCTAGTTCAGTTCTAGTTCAGTTCTAGTTCAGTTCTAGTTTAGTTCTGGTTCAGTTCTAGTTCAGTTCTAGTTCAGTTCTAGTTCAGTTCTAGTTTAGTTCTAGTTCTGTTCTAGTTCTGTTCTAGTTCTGTTCTAGTTCTGTTCTAGTTCAGTTCTAGTTCAGTTCTAGTTCAGTTCTAGTTCAGTTCTAGTTCAGTTCTAGTTCAGTTCTAGTTCAGTTCTAGTTCAGTTCTAGTTCAGTCCTAGTTCAGCTCTAGTTCAGTTCTAGTTCAGTTCTAGTTCAGTTCTAGTTCAGTTCTAGTTCAGTTCTAGTTAGTTCTAGTTCAGTTCTAGTTCAGTTCTAGTTCAGTTCTAGTTCATAGTTCAGTTCTAGTTCAGTTCTAGTTTAGTCAGTTCTAGTTCTTCTTCAGTTCTAGTTCAGTTCTAGTTCAGTTCTAGTTCAGTTCTAGTTCAGTTCTAGTTCAGTTCTAGTTCAGTTCTAGTTCAGTTCTAGTTTAGTTCTGGTTCAGTTCTAGTTCAGTTCTAGTTCAGTTCTAGTTCAAGTTCTAGTTCAGTTCTAGTTCAGTTCTAGTTCAGTTCTAGTTCAGTTCTAGTTCAGTTCTAGTTCAGTTCTAGTTCAGTTCTAGTTCAGTTCTAGTTCAGTTCTACGTTCAGTTCTAGTTCAGTTCTAGTTCAGTTCTAGTTCAGTTCTAGTTCAGTTCTAGTTCAGTTCTAGTTCAGTTCTAGTTCAGTTCTAGTTCAGTTCTAGTTCAGTTCTAGTTCAGTTCTAGTTCAGTTCTAGTTCAGTTCTAGTTCAGTTCTAGTTCAGTTCAGTTCTAGTTCAGTTCTAGTTCAGTTCTAGTTCAGTTCTAGTTCAGTTCTAGTTCAGTTCTAGTTCAGTTCTAGTTCAGTTCTAGTTCAGTTCTAGTTCAGTTCTAGTTCAGTTCTAGTTCAGTTCTAGTTCAGTTCTAGTTCAGTTCTAGTTCAGTTCTAGTTCAGTTCTAGTTCAGTTCTAGTTCAGTTCTAGTTCAGTTCTAGTTCAGTTCTAGTTCAGTTCTAGTTCAGTTCTAGTTCAGTTCTAGTTCAGTTCTAGTTCAGTTCTAGTTCAGTTCTAGTTCAGTTCTAGTTCAGTTCTAGTTCAGTTCTAGTTCAGTTCTAGTTCAGTTTCTAGTTCAGTTCTAGTTCAGTTCTAGTTCTAGTTCGTTAGTTCAGTTCTAGTTCAGTTCTAGTTCAGTTCTAGTTCAGTTCTAGTTCAGTTCTAGGTCAGTTCTAGTTCAGTTCTGGTCAGTTCTAGTTCAGTTCTAGTTCAGTTCTAGTTCAGTTCTAGTTCAGTTCTAGTTCGTTCTAGTTCAGTTCTAGTTCAGTTCTAGTTCAGTTCTAGTTCAGTTCTAGTTCAGTTCTAAGTTCGTTCAGTTCTACTTCAGTTCTACTTCAGTTCTAGTTCAAAAAATTAAGATTCTGAAAAAGAAATATGGAATTGTCCTCCAGTTCTTAATAGAATATATAATTTATCTACAATATAAAATTTTGCCAAGTCACACCTTGGAAGGAGTTAACAAACACTTGATGGTGTTTTTCCACTTCTCTTGCAACAGTATCGCATGCATTATACATCCGTATATAGTTGTTGACAGAAAAAAAATGGCAAAAAAGTAAATCTCGTTGTGTTGTTGTCCTTTTGTGTTGAATGTTTTAAATTTCATGTGATATTTTTGCGTTGACATGTTTGCATTTTGACAAGTGATTTACGAGTTTATTTTTCTTTTCCCAGCCTTCACATAAAGGCCACCATTTCATTTTTTTGCATGCTGCATGGCATCTGAGTGTTAATGTTATGGTTCCGTATTGTGATGTTAAATAAATGAGATGCTTTTATCTTTCCGGATGTTGAATAGTATGCTTTTCTAGTTTTTCTTTGCACCGTTCTGTTTATATTTAATGGACTTTTCTCTTAAATGAAAATTCAAAATGTTATATATAATAATAAGAATACATATTTATTTATGAGTTATAAAAAATAAAGTAGTTTTAAAAGATTAAAAACAATTGGATTGTAGTTTTAAAAGAAATGTAGAATATAATAAATCTAGTTTTCTAAATATGCCCAACTGAGAACCTGATTCTGACAACTTTTCTCAAGAAAAAATTGCTTTGAATGGGCAGCTTCTCTACAGAAAATGCAGCTCACATTCTGACAAATTCTCTATAGAAATATTTGTTCATATTTTGACAGCTTTTTTAATTCTAGTTCAGTTCTAGTTCAGTTCTAGTTTAGTTCTAGTTCAGTTCTAGTTCAGTTCTAGTTCAGTTCTAGTTCAGTTCTAGTTCAGTTCTAGTTCAGTTCTAGCTCAGTTCTAGTTCAGTTCTAGTTAAGTTCTAGTTCAGTTCTAGTTCAGTTCTACTTCAGTTCTAGTTCAGTTCTAATTCAGTTCTAGTTCAGTTCTAGTTCAGTTCTAGTTCAGTTCTACTTCAGTTCTAGTTCAGTTCTAATTCAGTTCTAGTTCAGTTCTAGTTCAGTTCTAGTTCAGTTCTAGTTCAGTTCTAGTTCAGTTCTAGTTCAGTTCTAGTTCAGTTCTAGTTCAGTTCTAGTTCAGTTCTAGTTCAGTTCTAGTTCAGTTCTAGTTCAGTTCTAGTTCAGTTCTAGTTCAGTTCTAGTTCAGTTCTAGTTCAGTTCTAGTTCAGTTCTAGTTCAGTTCTAGTTCAGTTCTAGTTCAGTTCTAGTTCAGTTCTAGTTCAGTTCTAGTTCAGTTCTAGTTCAGTTCTAGTTCAGTTCTAGTTAAGTTCTAGTTCAGTTCTAGTTCAGTTCTAGTTCAGTTCTAGTTCAGTTCTAGTTCAGTTCTAGTTCAGTTCTAGTTCAGTTCTAGTTCAGTTCTAGTTCAGTTCTAGTTCAGTTCTAGTTCAGTTCTAGTTCAGTTCTAGTTCAGTTCTAGTTCAGTTCTAGTTCAGTTCTAGTTCAGTTCTAGTTCAGTTCTAGTTCAGTTCTAGTTCAGTTCTAGTTCAGTTCTAGTTCAGTTCTAGTTCAGTTCTAGTTCAGTTCTAGTTCAGTTCTAGTTCAGTTCTAGTTCAGTTCTAGTTCAGTTCTAGTTCAGTTCTAGTTCAGTTCTAGTTCAGTTCTAGTTCAGTTCTAGTTCAGTTCTAGTTCAGTTCTAGTTCAGTTCTAGTTCAGTTCTAGTTCAGTTCTAGTTCAGTTCTAGTTCAGTTCTAGTTCAGTTCTAGTTCAGTTCTAGTTCAGTTCTAGTTCAGTTCTAGTTCAGTTCTAGTTCAGTTCTAGTTCAGTTCTAGTTCAGTTCTAGTTCAGTTCTAGTTCAGTTCTAGTTCAGTTCTAGTTCAGTTCTAGTTCAGTTCTAGTTCAGTTCTAGTTCAGTTCTAGTTCAGTTCTAGTTCAGTTCTAGTTCAGTTCTAGTTCAGTTCTAGTTCAGTTCTAGTTCAGTTCTAGTTCAGTTCTAGTTCAGTTCTAGTTCAGTTCTAGTTCAGTTCTAGTTCAGTTCCAGTTCTAGTTCAGTTCTAGTTCAAGCTCAGCAACAAAAGTTGCTCATATTCTAACATATTTTCTATAGAAAATGAAGATTCGAACAATTTTTCTATAGAGAAAAGTTGTTCTCATTCTGACAACTTTTTAAAAGAAAACGTGGCTCAATTATTAGAATTATAATTGATCATTTAAAACAATAATGAAGTTGGATTGGGATCACAATGTAATAATTAATTTACAAATCATAATGGCGGTATAACAACACATTTATCATTTTCCTAGAACAATTTAAATGTAAAATTTAACAAATTTACTACATAATAAAAACAAAATAAAAATCGATTAACGTCTTGTAATTACAAACAACATGTAAAATTGAATGATCAACATTATTATTTAAATAGATTTCAATAGACCCTTAACTAAATAAAAATATCAAGAAGTAATTAAAAAATATTTTATTATTTGCTTAACACACAGAAAACACATTAATCTTAATTTTATCTATAATTCCCGGCGATTTTTAATGAAACAATTCTTTTCGTGTAAATAGCTTCTTTTATTATTATTATATATTTCTTTCACTTTTATTACATTTTAACATACGAAACCGAGATCGTTTGGTTCCATTATAAAACAGCACACTTTTTTTTGTGTGACAATTTTAATATTTCCATGCTTCCCCTTTTTTCGTTAAGAGACTTTTATATAGGAATCCGTCAATGTGACAGTTTTTATTATCAACATGATTAACACTAATTTTAGCACACAAAATGCCCTTCTATAGACATTACAGTGAAGTAGTCAGGGGGGAGTTAGGACGGCATATTAAATAAAACTAATAATAAGAAATTTTGTTGTTTTTTTATGATTTTTTCGTTTTTTTAATAATACAAATTTCTTTTTCCCCCTCTTTATCATTACAGAGCCAATGCGGGTCACCAACATTTGAAAAAGAACTGCGTCAGCAATTGGAAAAGTAAGTGGTTTATTTTAGAATGAATAAAAAATATTAAGTGTAAAACAGACATTGATAAAAAACAATTTAATTTAACAATTGATTTGTTATTTATAAAATGAAAATAATAATAAAAACAAACTATTAATAACTTCAAGAACATTAATTGAAATAAAATATATAAAATAAAAAAAAAAAAAAACATTTGTCGGTCCGTATTCTAAGGATAAATTGTGGTTGAAATCTAAACGTGTTTATCCATTCATTCATTAACATTTTAATGTTAAACGTGACTATTTTCATGTTAAATTGTTTGTGTAATTTAAAACATACAAGGAAAATAGAAGTTTATTTCTTTGAAATTAAATTTTTTTTCTCCCTCTTGTATTAAAGTTTTTTTTTTCATTTTGCTGACAGCCTTGTATTTGATTAACTGCTATTACATGTTTACAGATGTTTGTACACTCAGTCCTATAAAAAAACCTTCTATAGTAGATCATATAACATAGCTCAGACAACTGACAAAAGTTTACCATATTCTGAACATTGTTTCTATAGAAGAAGCTGCTCAAAATCGATCAACTTAAAAACTTTTTCAATATTATAACAACTTTCCTATAGAAAAAGATGCATAGATTGTGACAACTTTTCTATAGAAAAAGTTTCCCAGATTCTGACAACTTTTTATAGAAAAAGTTGGCTAGAATCTTACAACTTTTCTTTAGAAAAATTTGCTTAGATTGTGGCAACTTTTCTAAAGAAAAAGTTGCTCAGATTGTGACAAATTTTCTAAAGGAAAAGTTGCTCACATTGTGACAACTTTTCTATAGAAAAAATTGCTCACATTGTGACAACTATTCTATAGAAAAAGTTGCTCACATTGTGACAACTATTCTATAGAAAAAGTTGATCACATTGTGACAACTATTCTATAGAAAATGTTGCTCACATTGCGACAACTATTCTATAGAAAAAGTTGCTCACATTGTGACAACTTTTCTATAAAAAAAGTTGCTCACATTGTGACAACTTTTCTATAAAAAACGTTTCCCAGATTCTGACAACTTTTTAATGGAAAAAGTTGCTTACATTGTGACAACTTTTCTATAGAAAGAGTTAGTCAAATTGTGAGAACTTTTCTATAGAAAAAGTTGTAGTTCTGACAACTTTTTAATGGAAAAAGTTGCTTACATTGTGACAACTTTTCTATAGAAAATGTTAGTCAGATTGTGAGAACTTTTCTATAGAAAAAGTTGCTCAGATTGTGACAACTTTTCTATAGAAAAAGTTGCTCACGTAGTGACAACTTTTCTATAGAAAAAGTTGCTCACATAGTGACAACTTTTCTATAGAAAGAGTTGCTCACATTGTGACAACTTTTCTATAGAAAAAGTTGCTCACATTGTGACAACTTTTCTATAAAAAAAGTTGCTCAGATTGTGACAACTTTTCTGTAGAAAAAGTTGCTCATATTGTTACAACTTTTCTAAAGAAAAAGTTGCGCAGATTGTATCAACTTTTCTATAGGATAAGTTGCTCAGATTGTGACAACTTTTTTAGAAAAAGTTGCTCAGATTGTGACAATTTGTCTATAGAAGAAGTTGCTCAGATTGTATCAACTTTTCTATAGAAAAAGTTGCTCAGATTGTGATAACTTTTCTATAGAAGAAGTTGCTCACATTGTGACAACTTTTCTATAGAAAAAGTTGCTCAGATTGTGACAACTTTTCTATAGAAAAAGTTGCTCACATTGTGACAACTTTTTAATGGAAAAAGTTGCTCACATTGTGACAACTTTTCTATAGAAAAAGTTGCTCATATTGTGACAAATTTTCTATAGAAAAAGTTGCTCAGATTGTGACAACTTTTCTATAGAAAAAGTTGCTCACATTGTGACAACTTTTCTATAGAAAAAGATGCTCACATTGTGACAACTTTTCTATAGAAAAAGTTGTTCACATTGTGACAACTTTTCTATAGAAAAAGTTGCTCAGATTGTGACAACTTTTCTATAGAAAAAGTTGCTCACATTGTGACAACTTTTCTATAGAAAAAGTTGCTCACATTGTGACAACTTTTCTATAGAAAAAGTTGCTCACATTGTGACAACTTTTCTATAGAAAAAGTTGCTCACATTGTGACAACTTTTCTATAGAAAAAGTTGCTCACATTGTGACAACTTTTCTATAGAAAAAGTTGCTCACATTGTGACAACTTTTCTATAGAAAAAGTTGCTCACATTGTGACAACTTTTCTATAGAAAAAGTTGCTCACATTGTGACAAATTTTCTATAGAAAAAGTTGCTCACATTGTGACAACTTTTCTATAGAAAAAGTTGCTCACATTGTGACAACTTTTCTATAGAAAAAGTTGCTCACATTGTGACAACTTTTCTATAGAAAAAGTTGCTCACATTGTGACAACTTTTCTATAGAAAAAGTTGCTCACATTGTGACAACTTTTCTATAGAAAAAGTTGCTCAGATTGTGACAACTTTTCTATAGAAAACGTTTCTCAGATTCTGACAACTTTGCTATAGAAAATTTTGCTCTGATTGTGTCAATTTTTATATAGGAAAAGTTGCTCAGATTGTGACAAAATGTATGGCAAGATTTCCATACAAAAAGTTACTCATATTATGACAACTTTTCTATATAGAAAGCTGTTAGATTGTGACAACTTTTATATAGGAAAAGTTGCTCAGATTGTGACAATTCGTCTATAGATGAAGTTTCTCAGATTGTAACAACTTTTCTATGGAAAAAGTTGCTCAGATTGTGACAATTTTTCTTTTAAGAAATGTTGCTCGGATTGTGACAACTTTTCTATCGAAAAAGTTGCTCAGATTGTGACAATAATGAAGAAATTGCCGGGTGCTTAGCTTGAGCAAACTATTTCATCTCAAATGGTGTAAGTTTTAAAAACAGTGAGAATTATTTTGTTGTTTTTTTTTTAGGTTAGGTTTGTTAATTTTTTTTAATTCACAATCACTTAACATGTATACAGAATAATGTTGCAAATGCTTCTGCTGGTTGGTTTTTGTTTAATAAAACGGATGCATTGCCGTCATTAAGGTTTCTTTTTTTGCAAGCCACATGCTTTTTTGCACTCGGTTTATTTTCCACAAAACCACAATTCGCACTGTAACAGCCAAATGAATTCAAAACCTAAATTCAATGTTTAGGAGTCCCAAATGCAAAAATAAGTTAAATTTTCTTCTTTTCACAAAAAAAAGAAAATTCAAAAATAACTACATAAACTAAGCCACGCTAAATGGTGGCTAAATGCACTTTGTCTATGCATGGAATGTATGTACGGATGAATGTATGTTTAGTGGAGTTGAAGCATATGCCGCTAAAGGCTCTAGGCTAAAGTTAAATATGCATTTTCGAAAAAAAGGCCTGATGATGGTCTTCTTTACTCTTTTCTGTTACATTGTACATAAATATGGCATAAATAGAGTCGTGTTGTAAATTATATACTTACATACATACATATGTATGTATTTACTATGTTAAAGAAGAAAATAAGTTAAGTTTTTCTCTACTTTAATTGCCTGGAAAACACCATCAATCACGACCCTCGCGTCAAGAGAAAAAAATTAAAGAAACGACCTCTGGCTGAACTAAATTTTCTATGTTAAAGTACTTTTATTTTTGAAGTAAGCGAAAAATTGGTGGTAAATTCTTTAAAACTGTAAACTGTCATTTACAGTTTGAAACTGTAAATGTTAAAATATTAAATTTCCCTAGAATTTGTTCTTAATTAACAATAATATTACAATATTTTATTCCTATTATTTAAAATCTTCTTAATCTTTATTCTCTTCCAGCATGAGTCGTGTTATCAAGTCCAAGGAACGTAAACAATTACAAACATGCCGGGACCATAAAGCTTTACAGGTTCGTATCTACTTGTTTTTTAACAGCACTTTTCTATTATTCCCTTAATATTTTCCTAAAACTCATCTTTGTTAAATAAATCTTATGCAAATTGAGAATATTATTCCCTTTATAATTTCAACAAAAAAACTACATTTTCACTTCAATGATTTTGCATATCTAAGTATGAACGCTTTAGAAAATACTACATTGTTAGAACATGTTGCCGCCTTGTCTAATGCATTAGTTAGGAGAATGTGAAAATATTCATACATATTTTATATTTTTGCTGACATCATTGTCTACCATGCAAATGTACAGAAATAAGTGGAAATGATACAGATATGACAACCACTCTAATTGCTTTGAATCAAAAAAATAATTTGCAAGATTGATAGATTATATATACAATGATATGGTATCCGACTTTTAATGCAAATCTGAAAAATTTCTTAACGAAAAAGTTGCTTAGAATCGGACAACATTTCTGCGGAAAAATTGCTCAGATTTATAGAAAAAGTCGGTCAGATACGCATAACTATTCTATAGAAAAAGTTGCTTAGAATCGGACAACTTTTCTTTATACAAAGTTGGTCATATTGTGAGAACATTACTATAGAAAAAGCTGCTCTGATTGTGACAACTTTGCTATAAACTAAGGTGTTCAGATTGTGACAACTTTTCTATAGAAAAAGTTGCTCAGAACCAAACAACTTTTCTATAGAAAAAGTGTCTCAAAATCGGACAGCTTTTCTATAGAAAAAGTTGCTAAGATTATGGCAATTCTTTTCTATAGACATAGTTGCTCAGATTGTGACCACTTTTCTACAGAAAAAGTTGCCCAGATTGATTTTTCTAAGAAAGTTTTTCAAAATCTAACATCTTTCCTTTAGAAAAAGTTGTTCAGATTACCATAACTTTTCCATATAAAAAGTTGCTCTGATTCTATAGAAAAAGTTGCTCAGATTCTGACCACTTTTCTATAGAACAAGTTGCTTAGATTATGAACACTTTTCTATAGAAAAAATTGGTCAAATTCTGACCACTTTTTTATAGAAAATTTTGCTTAGATTCGGACAACTTTTCTTAAGAAAAAGTTGCTCAGATTGTGACAACTTTTCTATAGAAAAAGTTGCTCAGTTTCTGAAAACTTTTCTATAGAAACAGTTGCTTAGATTCTGATAACTTTTCTATAGAAAAAGTTACTCTGATTCTGATAACTTTTCTTTAGAAAAAGTTGCCTAGATTCTGATAATTTTTCTATACAAAAAGTTGCTCAGGTTATGACAACTTTTCTATAGAAAAATTTGCTCAGATTGTGACAACTTTTCTATAGAAAAATTGCTCAGATTGTGACAACTTTTCTATAGAAAAATTTGCTCAGATTGTGACAACTTTTCTATAGAAAAATTTGCTCAGATTCTGACAACTTTTCTATAGAAAAAGTTGCTCACATTGTGACAACTTTTCTATAGAAAAAGTTGCTCACATTGTGACAACTTTTCTATAGAAAAAGTTGCTCACATTGTGACAACTTTTCTATAGAAAAAGTTGCTCAGATTGTGACAACTTTTCTATAGAAAAAGTTGCTCACATTGTGACAACTTTTCTATAGAAAAAGTTGCTCACATTGTGACAACTTTTCTTTAGAAAAAGTTGCTCACATTGTGACAACTTTTCTTTAGAAAAAGTTGCTCACATTGTGACAACTTTTCTTTAGAAAAAGTTGCTCACATTGTGACAACTTTTCTTAAGAAAAAGTTGCTCACATTGTGACAACTTTTCTATAGAAAAAGTTGCTCAGATTGTGACAACTTTTCTATAGAAAAAGTTGCTCACATTGTGACAACTTTTCTATAGAAAAAGTTGCTGAGATTGTGACAACTTTTCTATAGAAAAAGTTGCTCACATTGTGACAACTTTTCTATAGAAAAAGTTGCTCACATTGTGACAACTTTTCTATAGAAAAAGTTGCTCACATTGTGACAACTTTTCTATAGAAACAGTTGCTCACATTGTGTCAACTTTTCTATAGAAAAAGTTGCTCAGATTGTGACAACTTTTCTATAGAAAAAGTTGCTCAGATTGTGACAACTTTTCCATAGAAAAAGTTGCTCACATTGTGACAACTTTTCTATAGAAAAAGTTGCTCAGATTGTGACAACTTTTCTATAGAAAAAGTTGCTCACATTGTGACAACTTTTCTTTAGAAAAAGTTGCTCACATTGTGACAACTTTTCTTTAGAAAAAGTTGCTCACATTGTGACAACTTTTCTTAAGAAAAAGTTGCTCACATTGTGACAACTTTTCTATAGAAAAAGTTGCTCACATTGTGACAACTTTTCTATAGAAAAAGTTGCTCACATTGTGACAACTTTACTATAGAAAAAGTTGCTCACATTGTGACAAATTTACTATAGAAAAAGTTGCTCACATTGTGACAAATTTTCTATTAAAAAAGTTACTCAGATTGTGACAACTTTTCTATAGAAAAAGTTTCTCGGATTGTGACAACTTTTCTATAGAAAAAGTTGCTCAGATTGTGACCATTTTTCTCAACATAATAATAATCAGATTCGGGCCACTTTTCTATCGGAAAAGACGCTCCGATTCTGACCAATTTTCTAAACTTTCTATAGAAAAGTTTCTCAGTTTTGCCAATCAATAAACTTCTATAAATATTCTCAAAATCTTCATTAGCATCTGTGAATATTCAATTACTCTCTTGGCATGGGAATAGACACCAAGTTTTAAGTCATAACATGACTCATAAAAAAGCCATAATTAGTCTACAGTCTAGTGCTAATGCAAATGTAATTAACACCATTTGAAAAAAATTAGATATGGCGAAAAGTAATTAGCACTTCAAAAACATATCGTCAACAAAATCGTTAGGGTAATTTAACAACTATAAAGTTTATAATTGAATTTAAGTTTTTAAAGTTAAAATTTTAAAATGTTTGATTTTATTACCTTTTTTATAGACACGTTTTGCACGCCAAGAAAATCTACTGCACACACTGCAGCAAGAGAATAAAGCTCTGCTGTTACGTGTGCGTCAATACGAACACTGTTTAGATGATGTTATGCGTAAAGTAGTGGATGCTATTGTGGCCGAAGACAATCTACGTGAAGAGGTGGCGCTTTTAAAGGGGCGCGTTAGAGATTTAGAAGCACAAAATGCAGCATTATCGGCTAGTCCCGCTAAGGGACGTGATGAGGGTTATTGTACTATGAGTAGCGGACAACCACAACCCTCGAATGGTCATTTAGAAGATTTACCTGAAGAGCCGGAACAGTGGCTACTGCCGGCTGAACCGTGTTCAACGGAAATGGAAGACTGGAGTATGTCGCAAGAAGAATTGGCTGTGATAACATTAGATGAAGATCGTGAACTGCAACAACAACAACAACATCAACAACATAGAAGGCAACAAAAACTGAGTGATCATGATTGGATATGGAACTCAACGGATTTGCTCAATTCGACAATGGTGGAGACCGATTCGGTGGGTGATAATATATCACAATTGTTGCAGCAAAAGGTGATTGATGCTAAACTCTTGGGCGGAGGAATTAATTTGTTAATATTTCTTTGTTAATTTTTCAGATTATTTACTCAGAAGATGAGGAGGTGGCCTGTACAGAATTTACCAATGATTTCTACAAGCTGGTGAATATACGTTCCAGTTCCGCACGCAGTCTTTATTCTTATATCGAAGGTGACACTGACGACGAAGATGATGATGAGGATGACGATGATTCTGAGGATGAAGACGAGGAAGATGATGGCAATTCTAGTTTATCACCCAGTCATAAACGTTTACGCTCAAAAGTTTTAAAATCCCGCCAAAAACAACCCAGTCCTACCCCCAGTGAGGCTGGTAGGGCTCAAGTAACCAGCTGTTCCTCTAGTGAAACTGATGATTTCTCCCATTGTACCACTCATCAGGAAATCACACTACAAACACTTAAAGAAAACGAAACTATAGGTGAGGAGGCTGTTGAAAATGAAGAAGAACACACACTTGATCAGCATAGTGATATAGAAATTGAAGAGGTGCAATTGGAGGGCGAACTGCAAACACCGCCCCTGATCATAATGAATCATACCAATCATCAGCGACATTTAAGTGAACATATGACCGAAAAAGAGTGTATAGAGCAGATAATTAAGACAGAATTGAGCAGAACACCCAGACATAAACTAATGAAATCTCAGTCGACCATCGAGGAAAGAGAAACCAATAATATCTTAAGAAATCGTCAGCAGCAAAACGATAAACTATCGCAGGTGGTTAGAAGTGGTAGTGTAAACGGTAATTTAGTTACTAAGGCCAGATATCAAGAAAGAATACAGAATTCTAATAATTCCTGGAGACGCAGCAATGGCTGGAAAAGGGTTATATCACCCTCTCATTCTCCTACGGTAGCCTCTCCTAAAAAGGTAATAAAATAGCTTTTTTTTAACTTAAATTAAAATGGAAACTAATATTGTTTGTGTTTTCTTTAGGAACTTAAAACTTCAGACTTAAAAAGTCCCCCTAAGCCAACACCCACACGCATACCCTCATGCAAGCCAACTTCCACAGCACCCAACAATCAACAGCAAAAACTCTCCACAACTACTGCCCCACATCTCCAGAATTCTCAACAATCTACACGTAAATCGAAAATTCCTCCACCCGTTCCCGTACGTCGTTCCTATGCTAGTTAAATCTTATTATAAAAGACTTGTTAAATCTCAAGAAATTAATTCTTTGGAGGTGTTTTTCCTTCCCCCTGTAAATACCATAAAAATACTGGAGAAATAAAGTGCGTCATAGTTTATAAGTTTATAATGATAAGTCCGAAAAACAAAAACAAAAAAACATTTATTAAAAAAAGACTAATATGTGATATACATTTGAAAAATATTTAAAAAATTTAATAATATTAATATTAGAAACTAAAAAAAAAAAACACCAAATTAACTGCCGTTTCAATAGACTTGAAATATTTATAATAAATTTAACATTTGCTAAAATATTACAACTTGGAAAAGGTCTAAAATAACAAGAAATCACTTAAGACGTTTTAAAAAGTTTCACTTTACTTCTTAGTCCTACTTTTGCTCTCTTCTCGTCCTATATAACGCTCTTCGTCTTTTATAAAGTAAAGCTTTTTAAAACATTTTTGTTAAACAAACTTTATTTAAAATTTAAATTCTTATTAATAAGATTCTGTTATAATCTGACAAACATTTCTATAAAAAAGCTACTTAGAATTTGACAGCTTTTCAATAGAAAAATTGCTCAGAATTTGACAACTTTTGTATAGTAGAAAATGCTCAAAATTTAACAAGTTTTCTATAGAAAAAGTTGCTCAGAATATGCCAACTGTTATAAAGAAAATGTTTGTCAGAATTTGACAACTTGACTATAGAAAAAGTTACTCTGTATATAACAACATTTTCATAGGAAAAGTTGCTCAAATTCAGACAACTTTTCTATACATAAAGACAACTATTCAGACAACTTTTCTATAGAAAAACTTTCTCAGATTCCGAAAACTTTTCTTTAGACAAAGTTGTTCACATTCAGATTACTTTTCTATAGAAAAACTGGCTCAAATTCGGATAACTTTTCAATTGAAAAACTTGCTCAGATTCGGACAACTTTTCTATTGAAAAAGTTTTTCATATTCGAATAGCTTTTCTATTGAAGAAGTTGCTTAGATTCAGATAAATTTTCTATTGAAAAAGTAGCTCTGATTCATACAACTTTTCTATGTAAAGTGGTAACTTTTCTATAGAAAAACTTTCTCAGATTCCGATAACTTTTCTTTAGACAAAGTTGCTTAGATTCAGATTACTCTCCTATAGAAAAACTTGCTCACATTCGGACAACTTTTCAATTGAAAAACTTGCTCAGGTTTGGACAACTTTTCTATTGAAAAATTTGTTCAGATTCGAATAGCTTTTCTATTGAAGAAGTTGATTAGATTCAGACAACTTTTCTATAGAAAAACTTGCTCAGATTCGGACAACTTTTCTATGAAAAAAGTTGCTCAGATTCAGACAAATTTTCTATAGAAAATCTTGCTCAGATTCCGATAACTTTTCTTTAGACATAGTTGTTCAGATTCGGACAACTTTTCTATAGAAAAACTTACTTAGATTCCGATAACTTTTTTATAGAAAAACTTGCTCAGATTCGAACAACTTTTCTATAGAAAAACTTGCTCAGATTCGGATAATTTTTCTCTACATAAAAGTAACCTTTGCTATAGAAAAAGTTAATCAGATTCAGACAACTTTTCTTTAGACAAAGTTGCTCAGATTCAAACAACTTTTCTATAGAAAAACTTACTTAAACTCGCACAACTTTTCTATTGAAAATGTTACTCAGACTCATATAACTATTCTATAGAAAAAGTTCTTCAGATTCAGACAACTGTTCTACACATAAAATTAGTCAGATTCTGAAAACTTTCTATAAAAAGTTAGCTTTATAGGGACCACTTTTCTATAGAAAACTTCCTCAGATTCAGAAAACTTTTGTATAGAGAAAGATCCTCAGATTCAGACAACTTTTCTATAGAAAAAGTTCCTCAGAATAAGACAACCTTTTTATAGAAAGAGTAGTTCACAATCTGGCAACCTTTCCATTGAAAAAACTGCATTGACAGAAAACTTTTCTATAGAAAAAGTTACTCGGAATGAGACAAAATTTCCATTGAAAAAGTTGCTCAGACAGTAATAACTTTTCTGTAGAAAACGTTGCTCAGATTGTGATTACTTTTCTATACAAAAAAAATGTTCAGATTGTTATAACTTTTCTATAGAAAAAATTGCTCAGAATTTTATAACTTTTCTATAGAAAAAGTTGCACAGATTTTAACAACTTTTCTATGTGAAAAGTTGCTCAGACTGTGACAACTTTTCTAAAGGAAAAGTAAATCAGATTTTCACAAGTTTTCTATAGGAAAAATTGTTCAGATTACGACTTTTCTATGAAAAAAGTTGCTTACATTGGGACAACTTTTCTATAGAAAAAGCTGCATAGATTCGAACTTTTCTATAGAAAAATAGACTCTAATCTGAAAACTTCTTTAACAAAAAGTTTCTCAGAATCTTTTAGTTTTTCTATGGAATTGAAAAGGGTTGCTACAAAACAATTTAATTTGACATAATTTATACAAATCATTTTTTTAAATTCAAAGCAATTCATAATTTCTCCCCACTCTCAAAAAGTAGAGAGAGTGTATTAGGGTTTGAAAATTATAAATTTGCAAATTAAAGTATAATTTTTTAAAATTATTTTAAAATATAATTTTATAACAATTTGAAAAAAAAAAGGTTAAAACTTAATTTAATTTGTAAACAATAAGGGTTAAAGGTTAAAAAGCAGTCCATTATTTTTTTTAATTTATTTTGTATATAATAAATAATAAAAAAAAATATACTTAAATATAAACTATAGTTTTTAAAACAATTATATAAAAAGCAAATATTAAAATAGGTTTACTTGTTATAGAGGAAAAAATTTAAAGAAAAATTGGAATTGGAAGAAATAGCAAGTAAACCAAAAAGGCTAAAATTATTTTCTCAAATATTAACTAACCAATTTATTAATTATTATTATTATTATATTTTTTTTCAAAACTAAAATCTGACATTGTTTAGGGATAATTTATTAAATTTTTTTCTTTTGCTGTATAAAAAGTATAATTTATTTAACTTTAATACTATTATATATATAATTTACTTAAATTTTATAAAGAAATAAAGAACCGAAAGACATTAAGTAACAAAAAAGTTAAAAGTAAACTAATTAATTAAGTAGTCTTCCGCACAAATATTAAAAGAAAAAGAGAAAAATAAATGAAAAATATTTAAACAAAATAAATTACAATAAATATTAATAATAATTTTAAGCAAAAAACAGAATTCCACTAATAAATAAATAAATAAAAATAAATTCATAAGAAATGCAATAAAACATAAAGAGGTTTCTTATTTAAATATTAATATTAAACGAAACAAAAAAAACAAAAAAAAACTAAAATGTAAATAAAAAATTAATTAAAGAAAACAACAACAAAGTAGCTTTGTTAGTTATTACCAGAAAAAAACAAAAGAAAAAACTTAATACACTTACATATATACGAAAGTTATATATCACTAAGAACAAACAAAAAATCACATCTTTTTCTCAAAATCTTTTTGATAATTTGTTTTATAATTTATTAATAGTTTATAACCTAAAAAAAAAAAAAACAAAACTATTATTAAGACCTCTATAACTACTTAAAAACAAAATAGATTTTCACTTTCTTAGATTATTTTTAATAATACAAATACAATATAATCATTTCAAATTTAGCAGTTTGTTTTATTTTTAAAATAATCAAACTCTTCTTAACATTTTTCTAAATTCTTATCACATTTTGTTTTAAAACATTTTGTTGCAAATTTATTAATTATGCAACAAACTAATATTCATATTGTAGGTCAGTACAAACAATAAAAAGCAAACAACAAATTATTATAAAATTAAAAAAAAAAAATATTGTATTAAAGGATTATTTATAACTTATTTCAAATAAGCAATATCTAATGGAATAAGTAATACGATCGGTCAAATTGTTTTTAACCAATTACCGTTTGAACAAGTTAAAAAAAAATGGTTTAGAAAGTATATTTCCAAAATATTATGTATACTTATAATATTTTGGAAATAATATTTATAATAAACGAAAAATTATTAAAAAAAAACTCCCAAAAGTGTTTTAATTAATAAAAGAAATACAAAAACCGGCATTCCCATAAAAGAATTGTCAGATTCTGGAGCTATATATTAAAAAATGTTTCTGTGGAAAACTTTTTCACAAGGATAGTTGTCGGAATTTGATTAAATTTTCTTTTAGAAATGTTGTCAAAATCTAAGCAATTTATTCCATAGAAAAGTTGTCACAATCTAAGCAACTTTTTCTATAGAAAAGTTGTCACAATGTGAGCAACATTTCCATAGAAAATTTATCACAATGTAAGCAATATTTCCATAGAAAAGTTGTCACAATCTAAGCAACTTTTTCTATAGAAAAGTTGTCACAATCTAAGCAACTTTTTCTATAGAAAAGTTGTCACAATCTAAACAATTTTTTCTATAGAAAAGTTGTCACAATCTAAGCAACTTTTTCTATAGAAAAGTTGTCACAATCTGAACAACGTTTTCTATAGAATAGTTATCACAATCTGAGCAACTTTTTATAAAAAAGTTGTCACAATCTAAGCATCTTTTTCTATAGAAAAGTTGTCACAATCTAAGCAACTTTTTCTATAAAAGTCACAATCCTAGCAACTATTTCTATAGAAAAGTTGTCACAATCTAAGCCACTTTTTCTATAGAAAAATTGTCACAATCTAAGCATCTTATTCTATAGAAAAGTTGTCACAATCTAAGCAACTTTTTCTATAAAAAAATTGTCACAATCTAAGCAATTTTTCTATAGAAAAGTTGTCACAATCTAAGCAACTTTTTCTATAGAAAAGTTGTCACCATTTAAGCAACTTTTTCTATAGAAAAGTTGTCACCATTTAAGCAACTTCTTCCATAGAAAAGTTATCACAATCTGAGATACTTTTTTTATTGAAAAGATGTCACACTCTGAGTAACTTTTTCTATACAAAATTTGTCTCAGTATCAGAAACTTTTACTATAGAAAAGTTGTCTCAGTCTGAGTAACTTTTTCCATAGAAATGTTGTCTCAGTCTGAGTAACTTTTTCTATAGAAATGTTGTCTCAGTCTGAGTAACTTTTTCTATAGAAAAGTTGTCTCAGTCTGAGTAACTATTTCTATAGAAAAGTGGTCACAATCTGAACAACTTTTTCTATAGAAAAGTTGTCTTAGTCTGAGTAACGTTTTTTATAGAAAAGTTGTCTCAGTTTGAATAACTTTCTCTATAGAAAAGTTGATACAGAAAAATTGCCAGAATCTGTCCAACTTTTCCTATATTAAAGATGTCAGAATCTGACTTACTTTTCTTAGATAGGTTGTTAGATTCTGACTAACTTTTCCTATAGAGAAGTTGTCTGATTCTGACTTACTTTCCTATAGAGAAGTTCTTAGATTATGACTTACTTTTCCTATGGAAAAGTTGTCAGTATATGACTAACTTTCCCAATAGAAGTTGTCAAAATCTGACTAATTTTCCCTAAAGAAAAGCTGTCATATTCTAGGAACTATTGCCGAACTTAAACTCCAATATAAAATCTATTTTTAAGGGGAAATCTGAGTGATCATAGGCATTCATTATTTTCTCAATTTAGGGGTTATGTGATAAACTTGTTTATAGTTCGATCATTTTATTTATTCATAAAACACTTTGTCGATGTTTGGGAATTTAATTTGTTTATAGGGGTACTTGAGAGTTAACCATTAACGAACCTAAACCAATAGTTATTTTGTTTTATTTTAGTAGTAAGAATTTTTGATTGTTTTTCAAACGTCATAAAGGAAAAAAATATAAATAAAACAACACCTAGCCACAACACCAACAAAAATCTATAAAAACCGTTATTTGAGAAGATAAAAATAAAAAACAGAAATTTTAAGAAACACAACATTAAAGAACGTCACACAAAACAGAAGTAATTAAATGTAAAATGTAAGTTAAACTAACAAAAAATTCGAAATAAAAGAATGATTAAAATTATTAAATTTATTTTTTTTTTTGTTATTTAAATAAAGGTCCTATTTGCCAATACAAAACAATGAAAATGAATTGATATTAAACACTCCCAATCGCTTGGAAATACTTAAAGAGGGCGCACCAATTAATCAAATTAAAAGTAATTTATTGGGACGAGGAACATATGGTACAGTAATTAAGGCTATTTATAAAGGTAATGGAGAGTCTCAAGGTTTTGATTATTAAATTTTATAGTTTGTGTTTTATTTTAGCAAAACCGGTAGCAGTTAAAATTATAAAAAATTCACAAGATGTAAATAAACAAACCGCTGGTAATGAGGCCCATATATTGGGTTGGTTACATCCAAATATCGTGAGAATTTTTAAGGTTATTTTTGTTTTATTAAAATTATAATTAGAAAAGAAAATTTGATTATTCATTATTATTTATCTAGATTGAATCTACTCCAAATTTTTCCATTGTGGTAATGGAACGTTTTAATGGTCATTGTTTGCAAAAAGTTTTGGATACAATTGAATTACCTTTAATTCATAGGATTTTGTAAGTATTGTCTAGTCTTTTGTTTAGTTTATTGACTAATCTATCGTCTAGTCTACTGATTAGTTTATTGTCTATTCTACTGACTACTTTATTGTCTAGTCCATTGACTACTCTATAGTCTAGTGTATTGCGGAATCCATAGTCGACTAGTCTATCATCTAGTCCCACGACTAATCTATTGTCTCTGCTATTGACTTGTCCATCATCTAGTCTATTGTCTAGCCCATTGGCCAGTCTATCACCTAGACTATTGAGTAGAATATTGTCTAGTTTGTCGACTAGTCTATAATATAGTCCAGTCTATGGATTTGTATACCGTTTATTCTGGACTGGACTTTTAATTAGTCTATCTGTCTATCTATCTATCTATCTTCTATCTCTATCTATCTATCTATTATCTATATCTATCTATCTATCTATCTATCTATCTATCTATCTATCTATCTATCTATCTATCTATCTATCTATCTATCTATCTATCCATCTATCTATCTATCTCTATCTATCTATCTATCTATCTATCTATCTATCTATCTATCTATCTATCTATCTATCTATCTATCTATCTATCTATCTATCTATCTATCTATCTATCTATCTATCTATCTATCTATCTATCTATCTATCTATCTATCTATCTATCTCTATCTATCTATCTCTCTATCTATCTATCTATCTATCTATCATCTATCTATCTATCTATCTATCTATCTATCTATCTATCTATCTATCTATCTATCTATCTATCTATCTATCTATCTATCTATCTATCTATCTATCTATCTATCTATCTATCTATCTATCTATCTATCTATCTATCTATCTATCTATCTATCTATCTATCTATCTATCTATCTATCTATCTATCTATCTATCTACCTATCTATCTATCTATCTATCTATCTATCTATCTATCTCTATCTATCTATCGTCTATCTATCTATCTATCTATCTATCTATCTATCTATCTATCTATCTATCTATCTATCTCTATCTATCTATCTATCTATCTATCTATCTATCTATCTATCTATCTATCTATCTATCTATCTTCTATCTATCTATCTATCTATCTATCTATCTATCTATCTATCTATCTATCTATCTATCTATCTATCTATCTTATATCTATCTATCTCTATCTATCTATCTATCTATCTATCTATCTATCTATCTATATCTATCTATCTATCTATCTATCTATCTATCTATCTATCTATCTATCTATCTATCTATCTATCTATCTATCTATCTATCTATCTATCTATCTATCTATCTATCTATCTATCTATCTATCTATCTATCTATCTATCTATCTATCTATCTATCTATCTATCGATCTATCTATATCTATCTATCTATCTATCTATCTATCTATCTATCTATCTATCTATCTATCTATCTATCTATCTATCTATCTATCTATCTATCTATCTATCTATCTACTTATCTATCTAACTATCTACTTATCTATCTAACTATCTACCTATCTATCTATCTATCTATCTATCTATCTATCTATCTATCTATCTATCTATCTATCTATCTATCTATCTATCTATCTATCTATCTATCTATCTATCTATCTATCTATCTATCTATCTATCTATCTATCTCTATCTATCTATCTATCTATCTATCTATCTATCTATCTATCTATCTATCTATCTCTCTATCTATCTATCTATCTATCTATCTACCTATCTATCTCTATCTATCTATCTATCTATCTATCTATCTATCTATCTATCTATCTATCTATCTATCTATCTATCTATCTATCTATCTATCTATCTATCTATCTATCTATCTATCTATCTATCTATCTATCTATCTATCTATCTATCTATCTATCTATCTATCTATCTATCTATCTATCTATCTATCTATCTATCTATCTATCTATCAATCTATC